CCAATGACCTAGTTTTTTTAAGGGCCTAAAATTCGTCATGTTACTATCACTAATGTATAAAATGCACCATTTTCCATTGGATAATGAATTAAGGAACCACTATCACCTAGACTGATTATGATCACCATGGTTAATAGTTAGCGTTATTCATCGTAGCGAGTTTTTCTGGTATTCAGTGTTTATTGCTTCTTCAACATTCGCAGGTTCTTGAGTTGTCTGTAATTTTGAGATTATATCCATCTCAAAAGCATATCTTCCAAAGAAGTCCATGAATTATCTAGAGATGATAAATGATGGAAGAGGATTGACGCACCTTTTTAGAATCTTGATGATAACTTCAAGTCTTAAATATAAAATTTAGCAAAGTGCACTACTAAAAGATAAATAGAACTTGTATTCTTTCAAAAACATCACGTTACTAAGTCAAATCATGAAACCAAATATCAAACTATATATTATAAAAACAATTGTAATATCTAACAAATTTTGATGTTGTAAAGATGCAAGAATAATTATATAGCCCCTATTTGTTTATAAAAAAAAAGTCAATAATTAATTTTAATTAGATATTTTATGGGCTCCACAATTTTTATCAATTTTTGAACCACACATATCATCATCAACTAAAATCTAATTTTTAACAAAATCAAGAACTTTATGAGATGCTAGAAATGTATTAATTACTTAGCATTCATTTGCATGTAAAAAATGGAATTATTCTTGTAAAGCCGTGATGGATTAAACACACAAGGTAAATAATTATTTCCAAACATTGATCATATGCTTTCACCTTAATTTCATAATTCAACAATCCACTGATTGGAGTTTATGTAGAAAAGTCATAGTCAATATTTCTATTTATGCCCTTACACTTGCTACTAGAATCACGTCTCTCCATAGCCTAAAGAGAGATATTATTACATATAATATACTGCATTAGTAAAATTTAGACCTAGTTTGTAATTGATTTTAGAGCTCAACCTTTGATTCTCAAATAATCAGAAGTAGTTTCAGTGTTTAGTAAATTTAAGAAAAAATTACTATGAACAATCTGTAGCATTTGACAACAGATTTTGAGAAGCTGAAAAAAGGTTGCTATTTAAATTCTGTTTTTAGCCTTTTCAATTATCTATGACTAAAATACCAATGTAATTAATTTGTTTTCTGCTACAGACTTTGCTTTATTTTGTAATTTTATAAAATTTAAGGTTTAATATATCTTAATTGGGTTAAATTCATAAATGGCTATTCAACTTTACACTTAGTGTCACCATCGCCACCCAATTTGATTTTGTTTCACTATGGAGACCCAATTTCATATAGCGTTTTACTATGGGCATCCAATTGTTATTTTGAAACATCCCGCAATTTGGAATAAAAATTTATCAAACAATTATTGATGTCTTGTTATTAATTTGATTGGTTAGAGCATCTTGCTAATAACATATTAAGGATTTTGCTACTTGCACATAAAAATGGTACATAAGTGATTATCGAAAATGATGTGGAGGAAAAATATTAGATGAAAAAGATGATTGTATTTTAAACTGACAAATGTTATAATGTCTTGTGGACATTATGTAATCCCTTATGTAAACCTTGATGTACATATATCAAGATTCACGTGCTAAAGTAACCAAATAAGAACTTAATAAGAGGGACAGGAGAATTAGAAGACAAGTGTATATAAATATAAAAAGCCAGGGATTGCTAAAAAGGCCTTTGACCTTATTTTTTTAAAAAAAAAATAGAAGGAAAACTCATTTAAAACATAAAAAAACCTTGAATGCCGGTTATACCCTCGCACCATTTCTTAAAGCTAAGTCTG